GCGCAAGAATAGCTAGTTTTAGTAATGCAAAGTTATTTTAGGGGTTGAAAATAGCCTTCCTTTTCGATATAATATGGTTGGGTGATCCGCTCGGTTGCGTGATCCGCTCGCTTACCGATTACGTTATGGCCTTTTGGATGACTCAACAATTTCTCCTCAACAGTTCGAAGGCTGACTGCCGTCACGTGACATGACGTTGCAGATGACAGCGGTGTTGATTTCCGAATGACGGAAACATCTTGCGTAGCAGCTGCAGTGATCAGCCCTGGAGATGTCCTTCATTCCCGTTCCGAGCAGCTCAAGGGGGGGGTTGCTTGAACGTTGTCCCGTCACTGAAAATGAACGTGCAAGCATACATTGATTAGTATGATTTCGACGAAACCGAACCAGGCTAAGGGTAGAGCACTGTGGCAATCTCGACATCATGGTTAACGAGAGTTCTCAGAACGAGGCGCAGGATATCATTGAGGAAGTCCCTCATCATGCTCTTTCCGCCTGGTGGTGGCTCGCAAGCACTGCGTATCCTCTTTTAGCTGTATGTTGATGACTTCGGGAAGAAGGTGATATTGACGTCTTTCATCAGGGCACTCTAGGACCCATGGCCAGCGCGTTCAGCATATGCTCGTTGTCCGAGGAATGGAGTATGGAGTTCGAGGCGGGCAATGGACAGATCAGGAGTATTGCGGATCCCGATTGGTACGTAAACGAACCCTTAAATGGCCGGAATTTGAACTTAAAAAGTTATAGGGTCATTGTGGTCAACGCGGTATCACTTGGCTGCGCCATTATTTCAAATTTTGTCCTTTTGTGGAGTATGGCGCGGCGCATCTCGTTCTCTGCTGCGCAGCCTTTAATCATAATTGGCTGGTATATTTCATCCCTGCTCTTGACCTGCCTGCTGTGTATCTTTGCAGCTTTGAAAGTACAGTCCGGCTCAGATAGCGGTACGCGTCGGTGGCTCACTGGGTCCTACTATTATGGAGCCTTTGCAGCAGGGCTATACTTTGTGCTCTCTTCCCTTCTCTTGATTACCGTCTACGGGGCCTATCGGGGCTACTACGGCTGCGAATTTCCACTGACGGCCAGCCAGCGGAGTCTGATGCTACAAACGATTCTCTTTCTCATCTACCTCCTCGGTGGAGCCGCCGTGTACGCAAGGATCGAAGGCTGGCGGTATCTCGATGCTGTGTATTGGGCGGATTTTACCCTCCTGACTATTGGTATCGGTGACTTTGCGCCCAAGACACATAAAGGTCGGGGGCTTTTGTTCCCATACGCTGTTGGAGGTATTCTGATTTTGGGTTTGATCGTGAGCTCCATCCGCGCGCAGATGCTCGAGAAGGGACGGCAGAAGATGGCGGAAGCTGTGACGGAAAAGACCCGCCGGTACCTCGTCCGCGAAGCAGTATCTGACCATCAACACCTGCGGGATGTGATCCCACGCTTGCCGCCGGAAAGGGACGAAAGTGACCGTGATCGACAGCTGCGTGAGTTCCAGTTCATGCGACGGGTTCGGCAGATTGCGACGCTCGAACGAAAATGGATCTCGCTCGCCACGTCGTTGACCGTGTGGATGATGCTCTGGTTCCTGGGTGCGATCGCCTTTTGGCTCCCTGGACAGAATGAGAAGTTGACGTATTTCGAGGCGCTGTATTTTGCCTACACGACTTTGTTCACCATCGGCTTCGGGGACTTTCGCGCTACTTCCGATTGGGAACGGTCATTCTTTGTCTTTTGGACGTTGCTCGCGGTTCCGACGGTGACATTGCTCATTGCCAACGTTGGTGATACGTTGGTGCGGACGATCCGCGATCTCACCATCTACCTCGGCGAGCTGACCATTCTCCCGGGTGATAAACCCGCCCGGGAACTGATCAAGGATATGTTCCGAGGCTCATGGAAGGAGAGATTCCTCACCGAGGCTGTTGAGGACAAGAAGCCTGACGAGGACGACGTTGGGGAGGCTGCTGCCACCGCTGCGGCCGCAGCAGCCGAGACCGCAGATCAAGTCGATCAAGGAGAAGAGGAGGAGCGCAACGCGATCGAGGCAGACGAACACAAGAAAGAAGAATCGGCTCGGGCACGCGGAGATGTCGCGGCGGAAACAACACATCACCACCACTACTTGTTGTTCCGGGAAGTACGGAGGATGATGGACTACGCCACGCGCAACTTGCACAAGGAGTTTGATTACCAAGAGTGGGAGTATTTCCTTAAGCTCATAGCCGGCGAAAGAGGTGAAGCAGAAGGAGAGGAGGGGAATCTGAACTGGGATTGGACTGATTACAAGAGTCCCTTGCTGGGACAGAAGACGGAGGTGCAGTGGTTGCTGGAGGCGCTGACCGAGGCGCTGGAGAGGGAGTTGAGGAAGGCGAGCCGGGGATTCCACTCGCCTGAGCAGAGCGAATCCGAACAATGAGCTGATATTTACATGTCGATGTCGCGACTTGACTGCACCGATGTCTACCTCGAGTTTGGAGTCTATGACAACTATCTTTAAGGAACTGTGCGAGGGTGCACCGCAAGAATAATTACCAGATGATGGCCATCTCCTCAACTTTCGCATATGTTTACGCAGGTAGTGCACGCTGCGAATCTCACATCGTTTGCTTGACCGACATCTCTCGCGGACGACTGTTGACGGACAGCCAAAAAACGCCCATACACAAACAGCTGAAATGAGCAGCCAATCGCATGTGCGACCCGTGGCATGCTGTCTATTACCACTGGCACAAACGCGTGGGAGCAATGCAGTTGATCAGTCATTCATGCAGTACGAATGCCGACTATTCAAGCAGGATCTGGATTCAACCACAATCATGATTGGGTCTGTCAAAAAGGCTCACCCTGCAAATGTGAAACTGAAGGTATGACGAAATGGTCGACGATAGTGGAATATTATTGCTACCAGGGTAAGCAAAGAAACGACATCAATTGACAGTAAGTCCAAATATCTGGATTGCTGCTCGGGTGGCCTCAAGAACTAGGGCTATTCTCCTTATCATACAGTGTTGATCCGACCTAGCAAGAGATAACATCCATAGTATCCAATCAGAAATGCAAGGTTATATGCTCTGTAAGAGCAAACAGTCACTCGAATAAGCAAAGACTGACTGAAGTCGCAGCGAGTTTGACCACATGACTCCTTGGCTGCAGCACAGCCCAAACTCCCTTCTCATCATTCAGGCTGATCACTCTCGTATTCAGCAAAAGCACATGGTGGAGGCTGTGCATTACGGTTCACACTAGGTCTCAGACAAGACTCACTAAAACAACTATATAAATTGGCTGTCTGTCTTATGGCGATCATCCCTTGGCAATGGTGCTAGGGGTATCTGAACTGCTGAACGCGGGATGGAGCAGAATCTCAGCAATTAGGCTTGCCGTAAGGCCAACCTTTTCTCATCGCTAAAACCCAGGTAGTAACCTGAACAGACGTCCGGAACAAGATTTTGAGTGTGACCTATACCATGGTTCGCCCTTCAGGTAAGAGTGAGCAGCCAAGGCCAACAATGTCAGCATCAACCCCCAGATCATCCATCAGACACTGTTTTGAGTCGATGGAAACGAGGATGCCTGAGCTGTCTGCTTGGCATCCTCACGGCGAGAACCCAAGTGCCAAGGACACTACCAGGCCTGAAATCTTGGTTGATGCCGAAAATCGAGGCAGGACGATAATGCATCACCGCGATGTTATCGTGCCAAGCGGCGCCAAGAAGAATACTTGCGATGCATCTGAAGTGATTGGCGCGGAGGCTGTACACTGATGAGACTGCTCATATTGAATCTTTGTTCAGGAGATCTGATACGGCAGATTGAGGACGATTCCGATTCTAGACATCAGATTGTCTGCTCTTCGGCGCCCAGCGGTGTAACCACCCGCCAGCCCATTCGTCATATGCTGTTCCGAGCCACGAGGCAGGCGGTGGCTCGGCCCTGTGCGGATGATGATATACAGATATTACTGATGTGACAAGAAGGATCATCCTAGATGCTCAGCATCCCGCATCTCTCGACCCAATCTTGGCTGGTGGGATGTTTCAGCGCGCTTGGCCCGCTCATCAGTCGGAATGATGTATAAAAGGATCAGAGTTTGCTGAGTCCTGCGATGGCGATCAACGATTCTGTTTCAAGACAGCAGGTTAGCAGCTCCATGAGCAAGTGTCATCATGACTCAACAGAGCATAGCCTTTACCATTCCACCCCAGCCGGACGACTCCAATGACCAACCCGGTCTTTGGTCTGTCGGGCACAGCACCACTGTCTCGCTTCAGCCCGCGGATGAGAACTCCGGCTCGGAGAGCCTTCGTTCGACGCTCATCCGGCACTTTGCCGCAGACATCGATACCAAATACACGGATTTAATCCTCATCCTCTGCGGCTTCGTGAGCGGCCTCGTCGATGGCCTTTCCTTCAACGCCTGGGGCAGTTTTGCCAGCATGCAAACCGGTCCGTGACAAGGTCTTTTTTTCAAGTTCTCTTCGAATACAATCACTGACACAACGTGAAGGAAACACTGTCTTCATCGCCCTCGGCGTTAGCGGCCAACCAATCTACCCAACCTACCTCTGGGCCAAATCCCTCGTCGCCGTTACCGTTTTCATTCTCTCCATGATCCTTTACATCCACGTCTCGCGTCTGCTATCCCCCCGCCGCCGCTCGACCCTCCTTCTTTCATTCAGTGCGCAGACCCTTGCCCTACTGGCCGCCGCCGTTCTCGTCGAAACCGGCTCCGTGAGCCGGCGTCTCGAGGACCCCCGCGCCCCTATACAATGGATCCAGATTCTCCCCATCTCATTGCTTTCATTCCAGGCGGCGGGTCAGATCGTGACTTCACGAATGCTGGCCTTCGACGAGATCCCGACAGTGGTGCTGACGACACTTCTGTGCGACTTGCTCGTGGACAAGGAGTTGTTGGCGCGCGGGTGGAGATCGAACCCGCGGCGGAATCGCCGGGTCGGCGCGTTCCTGGCGCTCTTCCTGGGCGCGATGACGGCGGGGGGGTTGAGCAAGGTGACGGATATGGCTGCAAGTCTGTGGTTGGCGATGGGGTTGAAGTTGGGAATAGTAGTTGCTTGGTTGGTATGGAAAGCTGAGGGGAGGAGGAGGGGGAAGAAGGGGGAGGTTTAATCTGTTTTTATTGTTTATACAAACGATTTCATGATATGACTTTGAGGACGAATTTGATACACGTTGAGTTCTGACATCTTGCGCACGCGACAATCTCATCACCTCGGTCCAACACAGATACCGAGGCTCGTACTTAAGCGATCTCGACTCAAATACCACACGACAATCCCATCATGTAAATCATCCACCCAACAAAATGACACAATCAATCCTCACCACCACCCAAGATGGCATCACAACCATCACACTCAACCGCCCCCACCGCCGCAACGCCGTCGACCCCCCAACCGCCAAAGCGCTCTACAACGCCATCCTAGCCTTCGACGCCGACCCCGCACAGAAAGTCTGCATCCTCACCGGCGCCGGCGGGACCTTCTGCGCCGGCGCCGATCTCCACGCCGTCGCAGCATCCTCCCCATCCACACTGACAACCCAAGAGAACCTCCAGCCTGTCCCTGACCCGTCCAACAAAGGCAAATCCGAGCCAGTCCCAGTCCCGTCCCTAGGACCAATGGGCCCCACCCGCCTGCACACATCCAAGCCCCTCATCGCCGCAATCGCCGGGCACGCCGTCGCAGGCGGGCTCGAGCTCGCCCTCCTCGCTGACCTGCGCATCGTCGAGGAAGACGCCATCCTCGGCGTTTTCTGTCGGCGGTGGGGCGTCCCGCTCATCGACGGCGGGACGGTGCGTCTGCAGGCGATTGTGGGGTTGGGGCGGGCGCTGGATTTGATTCTCACTGGGCGCCGGGTCGGCGCGGACGAGGCGCTGGGGATGGGGTTGGTGAGTCGGGTTGTTGCCAAGGGGGCGGCGGTGGAGGAGGCGACGGCGTTGGCGAGGGAGTTGATGCGGTTCCCTGCGATGTGTATGAATGTTGATCGGGGGAGTTGCTATTACAGTGCGTATCGGGCGGGGTCGATGGAGGATGCGCTGCGGAGGGAGTTTGAGAGGGGGGCTAGGGTGTTGGCGGCGGAGAGTGTGAGCGGGGCGGCGAGGTTTCGGGATGGGGAGGGGAGACATGGGAGGTTTGGGAAGTTGTAGGTGTGTTTTCACTTGAGGTGGTTTCTCAACGGCTGGCGCATGATGCATCAAGGTGACAGCCTCATCCTGCAGAGTGCAATTTCCCAATCTCGACTGTCTCACTACTCAAGCTTCCGCAGGCTTCGTACACGGCCCGACAGTCTAGCCGTTGGTTTTATTAGATGAGCCAGAAACGTCGGTACTGATGCTATTAGTGTTCTTGGTTATGATAGTATGCTGGCGTGGCCGCGTGAAAGTCCCCACCAAAGAAGCTTCGCCATGGGGCAGTGTTAGCGTTGGACCCGGCAGTGGAGCGATGGACTCAAATTCAACATCAAATCGGCCTACTTTGTACTGATATTGTAGAGGAATCAGTGACGGCATGAAAGGTCGAATATCATTAGATACTTATTGCTTCAATGTACGCAGATTGTGGAATTCTCAGACTGAAAGATTCATCTGAAGAAATGAAGCACATCTATACTTGTTTCTGGCCAATCATAAAACAGTTTGAGAATCGATTTCGATGAAGTGCCTGGTCGCACAAGGTGATTGGACAGCCTTGAGTATCCACAAGCCAAATACTAAAAATAGGCTTTTACCAGCCACATGCTAGCCGTAATAGGACAAGTGTTTACTGCGGCGCAGGGATTTGCAATTGGACGCGTAGACCGTAGGCACCAGGCAGTCAGGCATTGATCACGAGGAAAGAATAAAAGCTTCATCTTTGCTACCTTGTACACCTTCACTCCGATCTTTCCAGGTCATTCTCAGACAAGATCAAAATGGCACCTTATGCAGTCCTCGCCAGAAGCGCACTCGAGGAGTCACAACCTCATCTCCTCAAGCGCGATCTCACAGTCAACCACACTCAAGCAGTCACCTTGGGCGTTATGGGGGCGTACGTGGTTGTCATCGCCCTGCTCTGGAACTTACCCTACGTCCGCTGGTCATTATGGCCTTTCAAGGTACCATCTTCCGATCCCACGCTTTACCATCTGCTCGTTACTAATGACTGCAGATGCTGGTCATCGCCTTTCATGAATTCGGCCATGCCATCACCGCATGCTGCACAGGGGGCAGAGTCAAGTCCATCTCGCTAGACCCCCACGAGGGCGGCGTTACGCACATGCAGGGCGGCATCAGCGCTGTCACCCTGCCTGCGGGATACCTAGGCTCATCCATCATCGGCGCTCTGCTGATCTTCGCTGGGTTTGACATTGTCGCAAGCAAAGTGGCTAGCATCATTCTGGGGGTATGCTTCTTGCTTACGCTGTGGTGGGCGCGGAGGGACTGGTTGACTATCTTGACCATTCTGTTGGCCGTCGGGTTACTGGTCGCGTGTTGGTTTATTGTTCATGGGGAGGCGTTGCGGTGGGTTGTGGTCAGTTTTGCCCCCCTACCTATATTCCTGTTGGGCGTGGTGCTAACCGTCAGTAGCTATTCATCGGTGTCATGTCGGCGCTTTACAGCGTATGGGATATTGTATGTCCTTCGTGTGTTTTTTGCAAAGTTCCATGGCTAATGTGAACAGTGTGACGATCTCATTATCCGCAAAGTCAACACTTCCGATGCAAGTGTCTTCGCGCAGAGGTATGGTGGCTCTTCCCGCTGCTGGGGCGTCATTTGGTCTATCGTTTCCCTGCTGTTCATGGCTGTTGCCATTGTGGCGGCCATCGCGGCGTTTCCCGAGTCGTTCAGCGAGCAGGAGGAGCAATCCAAGCATTTCATTCCAACACGGTGAGCTGTGGGTTTAAATAAGCGACGAGTGATGATAATGATTGTCTTGATTCCCTTGGTGTTTCTTACGATTGGCGTTTTGTTCTGGCATGTGCTGTATAAGCTCGTTTAGATCAAGATGCCAGTGATGGCTATAGACACATTAAGCCATTATGTCTTAATATCATGATTCCATCCGTTTTCTGATTGTTACAGAGTTGATTTGTATGCTCGGACTATCCTTGAGACCGCAGAAAGACAGCCGCTGTCTTGCCGAATGCGGAATGCAACATTACCATCTTACAACCCAACAACGATGGGCGCACCTACATGACATATTACTAGAAAAGCCAATTCTCTGGCAAATCTGATTCCGCTCATACTACTTTTCTACTGGAACATGCCTCAAACGAAGCTTCACCCACTGCGTTCCAGCCGGCAGCACATACTCATCCCGATCAAAGTACAACGTCCACAATCCTCTCCCCCCATATTCAGACTCGGCAATCCCCAGCTCCAGCGCCTCTTCTTCTCGGACCCGCTGTTCCGGCAACTTCACGGCCAGCCATCTTTGTCGCCGTTCAAGCGTGATATATCCATTCTCGGCATCGTGTAGATCAAACGGTCCACAGATATGGCCCTGAGTATCCGCTTTCCCTCCATAGCGCATCTCATTCGCCTCGGCATCGAGAAAGACCCATCGAGCTAGAGGCGGTGTCTCCCCGCTTAACGTGATGAGTCCGGATATATCATCTGGAGGAAAGTCGGGGTGGGTATAGAAGTGGCCGTCAAAGGGGGCCATCGTTGGAGTCGGGTATTTGGTTACGTACAACTGTTTGTGTTAACTGACAGTACTTTGAGGGTGGTATTGGGTCTGAGTACCTTTCCGTCTTCCTCGAGATATACCTGTGCGTTGTGCAGTTGGTCTCGTTGTTCTGGCGTTTCTTCGCTGGTATAACACTGTGCGAGTAAATGGCCTCGTTGTCGCTTGGCGTGCTGGCGACCGGCTTCAGGGCTCTTGGAGCTTTGGTCCATGTTCATTATTGCTGGGGCCATGACGCCCATTAATGCGAGTCCGAGGACCATGTCGATGTGGATTTTGTGGTGGGTGCAGTGAGAATGGTGTCGTTGGCTCAGCCTAGATTGAGTCGGGTAGTTGTACGGCAATAGGCATCTTCCGCCAGCTTATGTAGCTGAGTAAAGTTAAACTCGGGATGCCGATGGTCAATTGACGGGATAATGCCGTTGTGGTTCTGGTTCGCTGTCAGGTACAATTGACCGCTGAGTCGACGGAAACGGAAATGGAGTCATCACCACAACGCAAGATGCAACATAGCCCACGAGGTGATATAGGAGAGACAGTCCTGGTCAACGCTCCGATTATTTCATCTTTCCCTGTTGCTGTCCGCCATCTCTGCTGCTCGATCCGCATCATCTCAATATCAAACCACAAAATGGGCGATCGAAAATGGCAGGATGCTCCAAGGTAAGCATCCATGTCTCAGGTCAATATCTGTGCTAGGAGCTGAGAAGACAAGTACCCCAGCAGAGATCCAACAAAAGTCAACGCCAGAAACCACAGAAAACATCGTGGTGGTCAAACCTACTGGTAGCGAACCGGCAGCCGAGCCAACGAAACGGGACGATGGCAAGAGGGAGAGTCTCAACATCAAGATTCATCTGAATCTCCGTGCCAAGGTGAAATTGGAGTTGGATGCTCAGCTAGATGGTGATATCATCATTGGGTTAGATTGAGCGCCCGGGTTTCAACTGTGGTGGTGTGTTATGGCACTTTGTATGGATATCATGTTCAGAGGCTTCTTCGATATCTGATATGGGAACCGGGGGCGGTAGTAGGAGGCGAATTACCTAGCCTTTGAGATATACAGTCATGAATGATTCACCCCAGTGTTTATACAACGCGTTCAACGCTAGACCTGGAGATCCTAGACGCGTCTCGCTTAGGACAACGCTACTTTCTATCCCATTCACTGCTGCTTTGTGTGCGCGTGAGCAGCATAAAGCTCATCTCACTCTTCAGATTTCTTTCATGCTTCCTCCCCAGCTCAGTCCATAGCTCCAGCCTCAAAATGGAGGGGGAATGCAAATGCGAAGGCGTCAACAAGGACTTTCCTGCTGGAAGTGTCCTTAGAAAGTACGAAAAAGCCGTCTTCCCAGTCGCGGACCGTCTCTATCGCTTGAAGAAAATCCTCTTTGAGCATTACAACACCGATCACCACCAGCGCAGGGCCATGTTCGAAGCCGAGGACTGCGAGACTAAGGATCCTGTCGCCGTCAAGTTCTTCGTGGAGTATGTCTTCTGCCCTCTTGTCTCGTGCAGGTCTCGTTCACTGACGCCTTCATCGGCAACAGGGCCGATCCATTCATGGAGAAAGAGGGTGAAAAGCAATCTATGAAAGATTATGCAACTAATCTGTTCCTCCGTGAATGCAACATCTGGAGAATCTTGTCAGACTCGGGCTATACTCCCAAGTACTACGGCATGAGGGAGATGCATCAGGACCGCACCTTTGAGAACCCCGGCGGATACCTGTTGATTCTTGTTCTGGGGCAATACCCTACCCTCAGTCTGGAAGACGCGCCTCGATTCCTGTCTGATCAGGATCTGCCGGCCATCGAGGCACAGATGCGTGATATGGCTATGTAAGTGCGGTCGATCTTCCTGGTTGCGTGATCCAGTCTGACACGTTCCTCGGACAGTAAATTCAACAAGCACGGTCTCGATTATTTTGGCCTTTCGTCGTTCTTCAAGTATGATCCGAGGGCGCGGAGAGTGTATGCCATTCCTCTTGACACGACGTGCTCGCCACATAGCTAACAACGTTAGGTACGCCACGGACGTTGAATGCTTCGACGAGACCGAGGTTTACGATGACCCGTTAGCGGAGGAGCATCCAGCGGCGTATTGGATCAGTGTCGTGATGAAGGACCTCAGAGCTGCTGTGAAAGAGATAAGTGAAAGACGTGCGGAAATGGCGGAGTTCGAATTTTGTGAATATTTCGACCGTGAATGCCATCTCATGTAGGCGGTTGCCCAGGGCTAGGGCTGTCACAGCTGCCTTTCTCTCTTGAGGAGATTGGATCTTCCAAGGGTGATCACATTGGGTCATAGCATAGCACAGTTGAATCAGAAGGTGGATGTCAAATTGTATGGTTTCAAAAGTTCCATTGTAGAAGTGGTAGAATTATCAACCCGGAAACTGTCAGCATTTATGCTAACTCGCTCCTCCTTTCCGCTCAAAGCCTTTATCTTCTCCCTTCCCTTTTCCTCCAACAGAACATCAGAGAGCTTCCTTGCAGTTCTTGCTCATTCTTGGCCAACTGTTGACTGGAATTGATAACAGGGCTCGACTGCGACTACGTGACTCAGTTTGGACCGATGCTGACAGCGATTCTGCCCGCTCGTTGGCAAGACAGACTGTTTCAGCCTTATTATAGTTGATCCACCGAGTTGACGATTTGAGTATGATCTGACCGTGGGTTGGTGGGACTACACGATCAACAAGATTTGGCCAAGACGTAAACCTGATTCAGGGCCAGCCCCACGGCAATGCGCAATTCTTTCATGATTTCCTCATCCAGTTGCGTTGGAACATAGCCTTCGTTTGGTTCGAAGTAGCCGGTTGATCTCCAACAATCCTCAAACTGCAACATTCCCGCAACGACAAACGACGAGAGAAACGCGGCAAGAATTCTTCAATGGAGTAAGGCAAACATGAGTCACCCTGTTCTAGATCGTGTTCGCCATGCTTTGCAGAAAAGCAGACATCTCCGTTTGTCAAGAAGAAGATCAAATATGTATGGTCAGTCACGGAGCAGCTAGAATCTATACAAGCTGATCAAGGTTTTTAGCAACTCCCTCAAACAAAGGAACTCGATCTGGGAGGAAATACCAGTCAATGTCCTTACTGAGATATTGGTACACTGCGCACTGACAGATATCTATTCTTTGATGTTGTCCTGTCGGGTGCTGAATCGGCGAATCCACCAAGAAGAGTATACGATTGCTCGCGAGTATCTTCATCATCGAAAGCGCCGATGTCTGCAAAGCAGCGACTGCTCTCCAGGAGATGGTCTGACGTTCATTTCTGAGCTTTTTCCCCCTCAACCACCGCAGTACACCGCTAGCAGCTCGCACGACGAACTACCCCAATATTTTTTCGGCTATCTCGCCGACCTAAGCCGCTGCTGGGTGACTTGCATCAGGCTGTCGTACTATCTAGCTGATTATGTGGTTCAGCACCATTTGCAGCATGATTCTGATGCTCAGCCTCTCTTGTCGTCTTGCAAGACCGAAAAGGAAGTTATCTACAGCAGAGGCGTGTGTGTGCTTCAATCCCGCTTATTGTATCCCTTGTACGCCTGCCTGGCTGACCCCATGCCAGTCTTTCCACAATTTCTGACGTCTCCTAGGGCATACCTTGCATTCTTCCTCGAAACCTACGCAGCTGCCCGTGACGCATCCACGGAAGATTGGAAGCCACATCATCTGCACCGTTCGCTCGAAGAGCAACAGTCCATTCTCCAACGGCCTCCGGTGCGCCACATGATGAACCCTGACTTCCCACCGTCCTCAACTGGAAGCTGGGTCAATATCCTCCTCACGACATCCACACTGGAAAGGATACTAGACTTTTTCATTGCGGCGGCGGACGACCAATCCGCAGGAGCGCAGCACGCCAGGAATGCACAGAGCCATGCTCACATGCACACTCACCACGCACATACCAAAGGTGTATCATCCACCTGGACGAAACGGAGGGAGTTCCTGCTGCAGATGCGAAAGGATTGGGATGAGTATCTGGCGTCTGTGGGTGGTGATCAGACTGCGACTGATCACGAAGCGCTCGTCGCTCCCCCTGGTCTAAGACAGGTATGGTTTGAGGCAGCCGAGAAGGAGATGTATCGGCGGGGCGTGATTACGCATCGCAGTGAGGATCCAGTTCACATTCTCCATGGGTCGTGTATCAGGTTACATTGTGAATTCTGTGATGATCAGTATTGAGACGTAGGCTAGTATAAGACACAAGATTTGAGTAGTGTTGCAACAGTACTTCTGTCGACGACGGGCCGCCGTCATGTCGACGCTCACTATCGACTGAGTCGTTTCAAACTAGCAACATAAACTTCACATCGGCCATTATAAGCAGATCATAAGAAAAGTCTAGCCAGGTCACTTGTAAATAGAAATAGCTCCATGTTCAAGTGAAGAAAGATATGCAACATGCGTCCGAGCGCGGGCACGAAGAGCCAAGCAAGAGGCCATGGCCCATAATAATACATTAGAAGAAATAAGGGGTATATCTATCCGGCTATCAAAACCCAGAGAAGAAAGAAAATCTGCCATTGTCTAGTTAGCTTCTGCAATGGCGTCAAGGAGAGAGAAACGCACCATAAGGACACCAAACATCTTGGCGATTAACCATCGGTTACCGGATACGCGGTTCCAGTACTTCATCAACTCGCGCTGGGCGCCTTCAACATTGTCCACCACGTCTTCGGTGTTGGCGTCAATCCGCTGGATCATCTCTGACTGCTCACTGACCATCTGAGCCAGTTGGCCGAAGATCCCACCGAGTTCACTGATGGTGCGTTCGATGGCATCAATGGCTTCGCCTCGGGCCTGAATGTACGTGTTGTTCGTCTGCGCCTCCTCCATGACCAGTAACTGTTGGTCTGTCTGAAACGATGGGCGCCCAAGAGGCGAGGGGTTTGAGGGATCGAGCGTCAATAGATCTGAAGAACCTCCCTGGAAACCTGGTTGTGGCGTCCTCCGTCCTGAGGGGTTGTACAATGGAGAGTCCGACCGTTGCGGATCCAAGACTTGCGACTTCGACGATACTGATGAGACAAAATTCTCTGTCCGGGATCGCGACGCTTGGATATTCTTCGTTCGAACCTCGAGGACTTCTTTGAAGTTCGCACCGACATCCGCCAGCTTTCCTTGGAGCATAACCACGACCTGGGTGGCATTAGCGTTGCGGAAGTAGGCCACTCGGGCATCCACTTACATTGTCATTGTGCTCGCCTTCCTGATCCGCTTTTGATCGATTCGTCTTCGGATGTTGCGATAATGTAAGCGCTTGCAGCGAAGCGATTTGCTGGTTCAGCGAGGCCAGGTCTTGTTTGATGACGTAGGTCAACTCCGATATCTCGACAGGTCTGTCATCGAAGAGCGTCTTGCGCTTCGCCACTATGTTGCCGATCAGCATGATGAACAGGATTCAATCAGCAACCAGCTACTCACACTCAGCCAACCGTTGTAACTTGGCGGTTGTCGCTGTGATACCTCGTCCAATCTCTGCTGCTCTCCGAGCAAACTCCGATCGGCGTTTGGCTTGTCCTTGTCCATCTGTGCTTGCGTGCGCCTGTCTCCGTTGCGAATCCGAAAGCAGTGCTTGACGTTGCGAGCCGACTTTGGAGGTCGCGAGGCGTTTCTGGGCCTGTCCGAGGATGGCCTGAAATTCGCTCGTGCGATCCTGAATGGAGGGGCCGACCATTTTCAAGGTCGCGGATTCGAGGTAGTCGCCAGAGTATATGTGTCGATGCGGCTTGAAGTTGAAATACGTCGAGCTAATCGATAAGGAGAAGGCAACGGTTGAGGCGTATCCGACGTCAGTCAAATAGGGGCAGTAAACAAGTAGATAAGCATCGAGTGAAGTAGGTTCCGTAGGGAATTAGGAAAGTCTATGGAGTTTCATATCATCAAATGTCAAGAAATCATGAACAGGAGTATCAGACGTCCGTCCTCTCTCTGTCTCTCTCTCTATGGGGGGCGGGATTCGTGTCCATCCGGAAGGGGGAAAGTGTGGCAGTTCTCCACGTGACAGATGTGCCACTTGCACCGCCATGACAGCCACATTTTGTTCCCCAGGCCGCATCAGGCCGCAACTTATTTTAAGTACCAGGGGTATTCATGACCAGCAGAGGAAAAAGAGCAACAATCATCGACTGTCGCTGAGGGAGACTCAAATTCGCAGAAAGCTGATCAGCAAATTATTTTGCACAACTGACTGCTTTCGATATACGACCTCACCCAGCATCGACACGTCGCTGAGGCTGAGCATCAGGTGCTGTCGCAATCCGACTGTACCCACGTCATCTTGTGAAACGTACCGCACTTCCTCTTTAGGCTCCGTCGAACTCGGTCCAGCACGCCTGTCTCGATCTCGATAACAAATCCTCCATCGAACGAATATCCTGTCGGATGTGCCATCTTTCTATGTTGATTTTCTATTTGCACGGACTTTAGTCTCATATTGTTGATGCTGCCATTCCGTCCATTTCCCTCCCGTACGTGTAGCAATGGCTCGTCCGCTTCAAGTTCCCTACGAACCGGAGTTTGAGACGCTGTAAGTTCGCTTAAGACGGGATATTGGGCTCAGCTGACGGATACTGTCCGGACGTACAGTTCCTCTCCTAGTACCAATACTCCAGTTGCACCACATTCCCGCGGCGAAACTCCGATTTCGTTCAAGACAAATGTCAACCGCGCAAAGACCAAGCGTTGGGTTGAGGCGAAGAAATATTCATACGACGGAAATGATTGGGGTGACGATGAGTACGATGAATATGACGATGAGCCGCCACCGATGCCCCAGCCGGCAAGCTTCAGCCAGAGCACCAACGACCTGTCCAAAATAGCTCCTCGAGATCCGTCGAGGCCCCCGCTACCCAGCATGGATCGATCACGCTCAATGGATCAGGTGGCAACGCTCGGTGTAGGACCTGCTGGAAGTCGCAGTCGGTCGGCAGACGGCAATGCTGTCGAGGGCTCTGCGGGCAGCGCTGCCTCAAACAAGCCTCTGCCTTTCATGCGCCCTGCCGACATCTACAAACGCATGCAAGAAAGACGCCAACAGTCGCCAGATATCGCCCCTCGGAATGACAGTCCCTCCAGTCTGGGCCATTCCCACACTGAACCTGTCTCTACGTCTCAGCCGCCTGCCACCGCGGACCACGAACTTCAACTGGCGCCGGGATCTAATGCACCCAAGGACGTCGGTCACGGCAAGGTCGACGACTCAAGTGTCGCTCCAAGAACCGCGCCTGGTGTCCCAGGCCTTGAGCTCCCCGATGTTAAGCGACTCTCTGGCTTCGACGCCGACTTTTTGGCTTCGGATTCAAGCGTGCAGAAAGAGCAGAGCTCTGACCTTCAACAAACCCATCAGCTGCAGCACAACCCGTCGCTCGGGTTCCGTTCAGTTGTACACCAAGCATTCGACGTTCCCGAAACTCCAAGCTCCACTGTTGATAGCGTTGCACGGTCGAATAGTGACAGCACGTCGGCCATCAGTCCAATCATAGGTACTCGCGGTCTGAACGAAGAAAAGACGCCAACAATTGTGGAGGAGCCTGGTGAAATTGCAACACCGAGAGATACCAATGATCAGGCTATGGTATTTAAGCCTGGCCATCGTCGAGATCTTAGCCTTCCCAGCCCGGGTAACAGCCCTTCGAGAAAACCGATCATCAATAACAGCGCCGAGGCAACTGCTCCGTCGGTGCTGGGAGAGATGTCGTCGGAGACGCCTTCAGAATCCCCGCCAGACAGCTCCTCTTCGTTTCACCAACCGCTGCCACATAGAGCCTCTGTGCTACTGCCTCAGACTGGTTCCGGCCGGGATCTACCAGCGCCCCTCAACGTCGGCACCAACCCGACTGCCGATTCTCCCATCAAAAGTCATGAAGAAATTCCAGTTTTCATCCCTTCAATCAGCGCAGAAACTTCGCCGCAGGACACCGAGAGTGATCGGTTGAGAAAGGAGATAATTCGCTCCTTGAGCCGAGAAACCACGCCCTCGGCGGAAACAGAGCAGCAAAATCCCACTAGGCCGCAGAATACTCGACAAGAGACGGAGAACAGTCGACAAGACAGTCTGATCCCCAGTGAATACGAGAGATATTGGAGCGAACAAGTCGAATCAAGCCCTCAGGATTTAAGGCCGCCAGTCCCTGTCTACGGTGCTTCTCAGAATGCCTCGCAGCAGGATCTGTACTCCAGTTCGCCTATGATTACTCCGGCACCGGTTCCTCCTGCTCAGCCTACCTCAGAACCTAAGTTGAAACGACGCTTCTCGTGGGAATCGTCATCGGAGGAGGAGGAGGTACCTCCAGGGGAATTGCACGCGACCTCGCCATCGGCTATCTCGATTCCAGGACAATTCCCTGTGGCACATGAAGATACAAGCGAGCTATCGCCAGAGACTGTCCCCAATGAGTCGGAGATGACAACGGATAGAGGTCATCGGGATGACCTCTGGCAGACGCCTGAGAAGCCTAAACTCACCATAGTGACTCCTGCTGCCATGGAAAATAGCAGCGACTCGAATGAAACCCCCCTGCCTGAAGTTGCCAATCGTCAAAGTCTGGAGGAGCGATCCCCATTGCCTGAGCCCAAGATGCCGCCCGCGGTTGAGCCGACATTGTTGGGCTTCCGTGACATTCTGGGGATTCAATCTTCCGATGAGCGGGTGCGAGCTTTTGACCGCACACGGGACCAATTCGCGACAATTGATACTGGTTTGAAGAATTGGTTACAGGTGGTGATTCGTGCCCATCCGGAGCACATGGATGTCGTCGAGCAGAGCATGAGGGTTTCCTCTGTCGAGCCTAAAGCGGTTGTATCCAAAGGTAAATTCCCGAAGCTGTCGTCTCTTGGGCACTTCACCTCATCGAACCAAGATGGCCCTCCGTCTGGATCGGGCCACGTACGACGTCCATCCGCCCCGCTTGGTTCCATAATGAATAAACAACAGGTCGAGCAACGAGGAAAAGACCTGTTACATACCGCGGGAGCCCTGGGCGGCCGAGCGGGCGAGGCCGCCAAGGGTCTCTTCGCCAAGGGAAGAAATAAGCTGAAAAGAGGAGAGTCAGAAAAGGTAGATGCTTGAATTTCTTGGTTCGGTTCAGTGGTCATTGCATTTATAAGCCCTTGAGAGCGGAGGTAGTGGTCTATATATGATGCTCCCTCGCTGCATCCGTCTTCTTTCTCTCTGGTCCTGTCTTTTTTATCCAACTGTTTGATACCATGGTGTAATGAACATATGCAGTCCAAGCAAGAATGGACATGATTAATGCTTTCCCAACTATTGTCAAATCTATCGCCGATGATTTGTATGTCAACTCTAATTGCCTGTTGATCTGTAGGGATTCCACCGGGTGCGCGGTTATCGCAGAGAAATCCAGCTTTCAGACTTTCAGCTTCCGTCTGCCATAGACCCAAATGAGGCTGGAGGTATAACTCACAAGCGGAAGACTGTGCAATTTGCAAGTTTGCCCATCATCGGAAGGACAGGAGACTTGGCCGAGTTGACGCAACTGCGCTGGGATGTAGAGCCACAGCAGGCAGCGGCAAGTGAAAGTAGACGACGAAGCGCCGATGATCTCAATATATCATTTTTGCATTGCCGAACTAACACAGGGGGACGTAAACTTCAGAAGCCATTGCCCAGTGAGATATCATCCAAGGCACTGTCGAGCTCTTCTGCGTCAAGAGCTCAGCTACCAAGCATCTCGAATGGGAAAGCATCGTCGACGATGACAGAAATAAATCGAAAGCCTCTAAAAAGCGACGATAAGCGCCGATTCCCTGTCGATGCAACAGTAGCGACAGAATGTTGCGTGGACTCGTCCTGCAGGAAAAAGGCTGGCTATAGGCAAGCAAACGCTAAGCCACAGGAACGAGGGGGAAAGTCGACGGCTCCATACCAGAATGCTGCATCTTATTCTCGACCCAGCGACAAGATCACCAATAATAACGACGACGACGGTGATGAGAATGCCATTGAGGATGGAAAGATGGGTCCTGGTCGTGCAGAAGACGCAGAAGCACCGCCACCAGCGGGCGCTCTCCTTCTAGACCCTCTCTGGCGGGGCTTAGAAGCATCCCCCGTCAACCTTGCAACTACAAATCCCTCTGTTCCACCTCCTCTTTATCGCATAAGCACTCCCTCCATCTCCTCGTTGGGCAGACCGGAGGCGTATTCGGGCCTGCAGCCATCGTCCGGGTTGGGACTGGGTGAGTTTGAGTTTTCTCTTATATCTGTCGGTTCTATAATGACCTCGCGATGAGCAAGTACTCCGAATACGAGCTGACCCAAATCCCCCAGCACGGCCGTCCCAATCTGCAAGTGCAAGTGCAAGTGCAGTCTCTGTCTTGTCAGAGATTAGTCTTAATCTTATTGGCGTCGGTCGACCCGGAAATCTTAATCCCAGCAACATGCTGAGTCCCGCGAATCAGACGCCTGTTCCTAGTGTTGCTGGCACGGCTGGGGCTACGGCTACTACAGCTCCGACTCCTGGCATCAGCCGTTGGCATGCTCGTAAGAGCCGCTTGAGCGGCGACGAGGCTGAAATTTTCACTTATTCCAGAGGCCTCAGCCGCTCGTCTGCGACCCCTGGTTTTCCTTATGAATCCGGCTCTGTCTCTGGCTCAAAAAGCCCGCGGACAGGTTCAGATGCACAGCTCTCGCAGGATGACCTCTTTGACGCTGACCTGGCTGCAAGGGGATCGCCTCAACGGAAGCTAGCATCTCCCAAGAGCAAACCGCCCATGGAGAAGTTTAGATTGTTCAGACGGAATCGGGGTACCTCGTGGTCTGATGAGCCTGCGCCCAAAACTGACCGGTCGCATCGCGGAGCGTTCGATAGGCTAGGTGTAAGTCAGGCCCTATTCGTCGGTTGACTGTATCAAAGCTCGAAACTTATGGTTACTAGGGATTGTTTAGTCGTTCTCAGCCACAGCAGAATAAGACTCAGGCCCATGGACGTGCGTCCGAGTCGTCTGTTGCGCAGACAATGGAATGGCTTCGTCCGGTTTCCTCGCATCCAGCACCGGGGCATACACGCTACTACTCAGGCGACCAGACCGGTCGTGGTCGGCGCCGATCAAACGTGGAGAACCAGACATCGTTCCAGGGACAACAACCGCCGCCAGAGGGATACTTTGCACCCGAGTCCTTCTCCCGCTTCAGGCACTCGCCCCGGGCCTCCAAGAGCAGCCAGCACTTACCAGCGCCTGCACCAGCATCTCTATCCCACCAACCTGACAGACGACTGCCTTCACCCGCCGGCTCCTTTTCATATAGCGGCAGGATCTCCCCACAATCACCACCACCGCCGCCGCCGCCGCTACATCTCCAACTGCATTACCAACACCAACACCAAGAGCAGATGACGCTACCACCAAGTCCCCACCAACCCCAACTCTCTCCTCCCCCACACCTCACCTCTCCCA